TTAAAGTCTGCAGTTTTATCACTATTGGAGATTTTTTTTTTCAGAATATTAGGGGGGTACAAACATTTTGGTTACATCAATTGCTTTTGTTCAGTTTGAGTCAAAGTTGTAAGTGTGTCCATCACTGAAACAGTGTGCATTGCACCCACTGGGTATGAATTTACCCATCCCTTCCTCACCTCTCCTACGTGCTTGATTTCTATTGAATTTTACTACCATATGTGCACATGAGTGTTGATCAATTAGTTCCAATTTAGTAGCAAGTACATGTGGTTTTTGTTTTTCCATTCTTGTGATACTTCATTTAGAAGATGGTCTTCAGTTTCATCCAGGTTGTTACAAAACGTATTAGTTCACCATTTTTGAAGGCTGAGTAGTACTCCGTTGTATACATATGCCACATTTTATTAATCCACTCATGTATTGATGGGCACTTAGGTTGTTTTCACATCTTTGAGATTGTGAATTGTGCTGCCATAAACATTTGGATGCAAGTGTATTTTTTATAAAATGTTTTTTTCCCCTTTGGATAAATACCCAGTAGTGGGATTGCTGGATCAAATGGTAGTTCTACTTTTAGTTCTTTGATGAATCTCCATTCTACTTTCAATAAAGGCTGTACTAGTTTGCAGTCCCATCAACAGTATATAAGTATTCCTATCTCTCCGTGTCCATGCCAGCATCTGTTGTTTTGGGATTTTTTTGATAAAAGCCATTCTCACTGGACTTAGGTGATATCTCATTGTGGTTTTGATTTGCATCTCCCTGATGATTAGATACATTGAGCATTTTTTAATATGTTTATTGGCCATTAGTCTATCTTCTTTTGAAAACCTTCCATTCATGTATTTTCTCCACTTTTTAATAGGGTTGTTTGATGTTTTCTTGTTGGTTTGTTTGAGCTCTTTGTAGATTCTGGTTATTAGCCCTTTTTTGGATACATAGCATGTGAATATTTTATCCCATTCTGTAGGTTATCTATTTGCTCTATTGATTGTTTCCTTGGCTATAAAGAAGATTTTTAATTTAATCAGGCCCCATTTATTTATTTTTGTTGTTGCTGTGATTGCCTTTGGAGTCTTCTTCATAAATTCTTTGCTTAGACCAATGTATATAAGAGTTTTTCCAACCTCTTTTAGAATTCTTATAGTTTCATCCCTTATTTATAAGTCTGTTATCCATCATTTATTTTTCTGAGTGGTGAGAGGTACAGATATATTTCAGTCTTCTACATGTGGCTATCCAATTTTCCCAGCACCATTTATTGAATAGGGATTTTTTTTAATCCCATTGTATGTTTTTGTCTGCTTTGTCAAAAATCAGATGGCAATATGAGGCTGGTTTTATATCTGGGTTCTCTGTTCTGACCCATTGGTTTCTCTTCTTGTGCCAATACCATGATGTTTTGGTTACTATAGCCTTTTAGTATAGCTTGAAGTCTGGTAAGGAGATGTTCTTTTGGCTTAAGTTTGCTTTATCTATTTGAGGTCTCTTCTGGTTCCATATAAAGCATAGAATTACTTTTTCTAGATTTGCAAAAAATGATGTTGGCATTTTAATGGGGATTGCATTGAATCTGTAAATCACTTTGGGTAATACAGACATCTTAACAATGTTATTAGGTAGGAATGAGGGTATGCAGGTGGCAGGGAAGACAGTTAGACATGAAGGTGGCAGGGCAGACAATAGAGAGATGTGGTCAAGGGCCAAGGGTTGGGATCAATAAAAACAGAGAAAAGAAACCACAACAGCAAGAACTTGAGGTTAGGGACTTTTCCCAACTTCTCCTAGGAGTATGGGCAGTAGCTAGGAGCTTATGACCAAAGGTAACCTCTCCCTCATTAACAAAGCAAAACTCATACCCACTATTGCCATGACAGTTTCAGAGCCAGCCATAGAGGGACAGAAAATGGGAAGGTAAATGACTCTGGGAATCTCCACCCACTTTCCTGAAAAGACATGAATATTCCACCCCCAGCTTAAGGATTAGCATAAAGAACAGACCCTAACCCTGTAATGACACTGTTCCTTATTGGAGCAGTCCACTCTCTACTGACTTTGAGAGTGTACTATACTTTCTGTACTCTATCTTTAAGTTCCTGGTCATCTCCACACATGGGAACAGAACTGTTCCTCTCTGTGAAACTTACTTTCACTTTGCATTAAAAGCTGCTTGTGTGGAAGTGCTTCATGTCTGTCATCACTCCATCTCACCAGCCCTTCCAAGCAAGGAGCCAAAGAACCAGGACAACATCTCTCTCAGCCATACCTGACAATGCTGATTCTGATGGTCCATGAGCATGATATATTTTTCTATTTGTTTACATCCTCTACAATTTCCTTCCTCAGTATTTCCTAGTTCTCCCTGTAGAGGTCTTTTACCTCCTTGGTTAAATATAGTCCTAGGTAGTTTATTTTATTTGTTGCTGTTGTGAAAGGTATTGAGTCTTTGATTTGATTCTCAGCTTGACTGTTGTTGGTATATAGGAATGCTACTGATGTGTGTACATTGAATTTGTGACCTGAGACTTTGCTGAATTTATTTATCAATTCTAGGAGTCTCTTAGCAGAATCTTTGGGGTTTTGTGGATAGAAGATCATATCATCAGCAAAGAGCAATAGTTTAACCTCTTCTTTCCACATTTGGATACCCTTGATTTCCTTCTCTTGCCTGATTGCTCTGGCTAGGACTTCCAGCACTATGTTGAACAGAAGTGGTGAGAGTGGGCAACCTTGTCTGGTTCTAGTTCTTGTCTGGTTCTATTCCCAGAAAGTGGGAATGCTTTTTATTTTTCCCCATTCAGTATGATGTTGGCTATGGGTTTGTCATGTATGGCTTTTATAATATTGAGATATATTCAATAATTTGCTATGTCTAAGGGTGCTGAATTTTATCAAATGCTTTTTCTGTGTCTATTGAGAGGATCATATGGTCTTTGGTTTTCCTTCTATATATGTTGTGAATCACATTTATCGATTTGCATATGTTGAACCATCCTTGCATATCTGGAATGAAGCCCACTTGATCATGGTAGATTACTTTTTAAATATGCAGCTTAATTGGGTTTGCTAGGATTTTATTGAGAATTTTTGCATCTATTAAGAACTTACTATATGCTAAGTGCTGATGCTACATCTCTAAGCAAAACACAGTCCCTGATATCATCCCAAGTTTTATTGACGTGGATAAATACTTTGTACATTATAAAAATTAATCAGTGTTTGTTGCTGTCTGAAATGAGAGGAATTTCTATCTTTTGAGTAGGGAGGAATAGAAAGGTGACAAAACTTTAAAAATTAATTGCATTTGAGTTAATAATTGGATACCCATTTTTATTGACCTAATTGTCTTATAGATGTGCGATTATTTAATCTGCTAGGCAATTTGTATTTCTGCAGTATTATCTTTTTCATGCATCATTATCACCCTGTATATTCAAGGTGTTGAACTGTTTCATAAACAGTATTAATCTCAATTAATTTAGGAGCTTTAAATAATATTCTCTTGTTAAATATACTCTTTGATATGCCTCGTTTATGTAGTGTCAGAAGCTGTTGATGCTGATAAAAACAAACATTTGGTTAAAGAACCTTCTCATATATCAATTTGCTTTTTAACATTACTTGTGTATTTATATTTTGTAAATGGTTTTGGTTGTGGAGAACACCTTATTAGGCTAATTCAGAGCTTTGAGGCTAAAGTCCAGCCCCTTGTCTTGGTTTCGTCCGAAGAACATTAAAATAGTAGAACATTTTCTGTCTTGGCAAGAATCATAGTGTTGAAATTTTAAACAGAGGATTTAAATTTGTCCATGAGACTATAAACTTCTTGAAGGCAAGGACTCATCTCTGTGCCTGGATGCACAGTTGATGTTCTTTAAATGTTTGCTGATTTGAGTTGAACTGAGGTACATAACAAAACAGAATTTGAGACTCAAAATCTCTCAGGTTTTCTTTATTTAATAGACATAGGACTACCCTGGCAAACCATCCTTTCTTCTTCATTTAAAAAATTTCACTTTATTATGTTCGTCTTTGATGTGGAACATTTTTATGGCTCCTGCTGTGACTCATTTTTGTGTCGAGTTAACTGCTTCCTTGGAGCCCAGCCCTTCCTTTTAAGCTGTGGTATTCAGGCTCCCCAAAGGCAGCTTGCCTATGGGTAGAGATCACAACAAAATGTCCAACTTATAGGTAAAAACAGAGAACTAAAATTAAAAACCATATATCATGTAAGTCACTTGAAAAACAAACAAACAAACAAAAACCCAGGGGCATTTGTATATTCCTATTAACTATTGACCAGCAAAAGGGAGTTATCTTTCTGCAGAGATAAAAAGGTGACTCAAGACAATCTCCCCAAGTTAAAAAAGGTTCTGAAGTTTTACTGTGGAGTCCAATTAAACTGGCATTTAATTTCAGGAACTACTCCCCTATATAATGTATTCATCACAACCAAACACAAATTAATTAACATATATGTCCTAAATTTATAAGTGCAATATGAATGTAGAATGGGTAAAAAGGCAGGTGGGAATAGTTGAGAATTCTCCACACATCCCTCATTTACCACCAAGGATTTGCTCCGTTGTGCCTTCTGTTAGTGTAACTTTGATTTTCTCAAACTTCAGTGTGCTTGTGAATTATTATTGTTTATCCAGAACACATATTTTCTGTCTTATGGGGGATTTAAGAGATCTCAAAGGGACATGCTAACTACCTTTAGAAACTCACCTCTAACCATGTATACTCACTTCTATACATATATTACACAAGAAAACTAATGAAGACTAAGAGTCAAATTCCTAGAGAGACCTCTAACCCTTCTCTATGCAAATTTTTTACTTGTGAAATAAAAAGCCTGGTCCCTGACTACGTGATCCTGTACTTTGGACATGAGGAAGCATAAGTACAAGTTGCTATTATTGTGCTTGTGGTGACCTCTCGGAGGCATGTCAGTAGGGCTGTCTTGTCTGTGAGATGTCATAAGACCTCATTTAGGATGGGCTTCCAGTCTGGCTTCGTACAGAGATGCTATGGGATACCTCAGAAACTTCCTGAGTGGCTAGTATAACTATGAGGCTTTGGATCTTGGTTAAATACAAGCAAATTTTAATAGCAACCTAGTAGAGGGTAAAATGCCAATCCTGCCAAACTTCTGTTCCAGGCAGGGGGCTATCCTGCCACTCTCAGAACTGGCTGTCATCTGCTGCTCTCTTGTCACACTGACACGGCCCCCTGGCTGGGCTGATTGGTCGCTGGCAATAACTGATATGGAATACTGATTTGTCTCTGGCAGTTCCTTCCACTCCAAAGAGGCTGCTTTCTACCCCTCTTCTTGCTTTCCCAAGCCCAGCCTGGTGCCCACCTTCCCCCAACCATGCCACCCCTGCACCCTGGGGGGAGGACCAGTCCTGGCGTGATGCTCTGAGGAGGTGGTGAAATCCACCAGGCTGCTCTCACTCCGGCTCGCTCTCGGGAGAGTCCTGTTCCAGACTTCTCAGGGTTTTTACAGCACAAACAACTGCATGCGGCCCGAGGGGAGGCTGAAAAGGACTTGTGTGTGGTGGTTTTACTGCCTCTCGTCACTTTTGTTGGCCGCCTCCTGACTCCTGGAGGTTCAGGCTGGATTTCTTTCTGCCGGAAGACACTGAGGAAAGATCCCTTCTCCTTCTGTTGACTCTTTCTATTTTTATGGTAAGTGCTTGCATTGAATGAGCTGCTCGGCTGCTGCAGTGAACTGAACCGGCTCGCTCTGCTCGCTGTCTTCCCAGCTAAGCTTAGTGACCTTCCTTCTGCATTTCTAATGTTTTCATGGAACCCCGTCTGGGGTGATCCAGCTAACTAAAATGCCAGGGTCCATTTGCCTGGATTGTTTGTCTTTTTATCTTTTTTCCCATAAACGTGAGCTCTTAGGCTGTGATGGAAATATAAGTGCTCTCTCTTTGTCCTTGAAGCAGCAGCCAGGGAAATGTGTTCACGATGGTAAACTGCAGCAGTGTGCAGGGAATCTGTGGTGGATGACTGACAAATTTGGGCAAGATCAGCCCTCAGCATGCTCAGGGCACCCTCTCACAATCGGAAGGGCTGGGGGTGATCTGCCCACATACCAAACTATCCCATCATTCTGGGGGAAGATGAGCACACACGTGTGAGTTATGTGGAGTCTGCTGTGGGCAGCTTTGCTTTACGCACCTGCCTGTGGGTCCAGAATGACCCTATAATCTTGTGGGGTTTATAACTTGGGCAGGAACATTCTCGGCGGGAGGAATCCTGCGCTGGCAGATGGAGTAGACTGCATGACCTCATTGCTTCTTTCCCTTCCGAGTCTCAGGGTACCCAGTTCTGCAAACCCTATCTTGCAGCCTCTTCAGAGGGTTGGTAGGGCAGTGATGAGAGGAACATTTTTGAGTTGACAACATAGTTTTGTCCTCTTGCCGGGAGATAAAATGCTTTGAGGCTATTGGAAATGGTTAGACTTTTCTAAGAGAAAACAAGCAGGTTTCTGATGAAGAATATGCATGTGGCAGATTGTTTATTCCACGGCATTACTCTTAGAATAGTGCTCTAATTTTTCACCTGGTCTCCTGAGGTTTGCTATGAAGAGCATCACAACTTCAAGTCTATGACTGGCTGCTGCTTGACGCCCAAAGGAAACCAAGAACATTTTGGTAGTTTCACCTTGTTGAACCTGTGCATTGCAGGAGTCTCTCCTTACAGGGGGATTGTGTTGTTGTTGTTAGCAGGTGTGTTGAATTATTTTAGTCAAATCAGCATCCCAAAGAATAAGCTTCGCAGTTGTAATTCTGTTTAGTTCTTTTCAAGTCTTAGACTGGAGATGGGCTATCTTACTTGATATTGTGTGGGTTTTCCAATTACGGTCCATGTCACTGGAGGGAGGGTTCCTATGAGATGTAATTCAGTCTCTGATTCATAACCACTGTACTAATACAATGTGATTTTTTGTGATAAATTAGGGGGGAAGTGTAGGGTAAAATTGCTGGCCTCTCCTTGTGCTGATTGGGAGTTTGGAATGTAAAGTTCCTTAACTGTCTTGCTCATTTTCACCACTTTTATTTCCACTGTTCATGTGGATTTTTCTTAAAATAGTGGTGATGACATCAGGCATATGCTTTCATCCTGTTCCCTCAGTCCAAAGTAGATACATTTGGTATTTTTGTTGTTTTTTTGCTGAAGGGTTCCTTGCATATATGAAGGCATGCATTTAAAGAAAGAGTAAGAATTTGTAGATGTTTACATGATACTCCAGTTCAAGGGTAAAGCCAGCACATAGGTTAACAGCGCAAACAAAATTTTTTTTTGAATACTATGGTCTCTGAATCCTTAAATAATGTTTGAAATATTTTCAGCATTGTTTGGATTAGCTGTTCTAATATCTACTCTTCGTACACTTGATTGTGGTTTGTAGCAATACTGTATTTGATAGGCAGACTTCTCTGCTTCCTCTAGCGTTCTTTAATGTTCTGCTGTTTACTTTCATCCTTAATGGTATTTTCTTACTTAGCTTAATCTTTTTTTTTTTTTTTTTCTCCAACTGAAAGGATTTTATATAGTGCCCGGCAACTTAACTGGAGATATTCATCAAGATGGAAAGAATTAGAATCAGCTTGGGTGTCATGGAAATAGACTCAGTATTTCACACTGCAGGCAATTTCAGATGCATTTGAAAAAGATTTCATTTTAATTAGTAGCAACTTTAGCTTAAGGAGAAAAAAAATCCCTTAGGCTTCTTTTATTTTGCTAAACAAATTGTTTACCTATGTGATCAGAATTGTATGTGTTTGTATATTACACACAGGTATATACACATACAAGCATATACACAAATGTACTGTTTATTTACTTGTGAATAATATGTATACATATTTTTAATAGGTATAGCATGCTTATTTAGAGAATAGAAGGAAATTTCCTGAGATACTGCTGTAGTTAGCTTTTCTTTTCTTTCTTCTTCTTCTTCTTTTTTTTTTTTTTGGTGAGGATTTCCCCACTTCCTATACCCTACCTCCAGATAATGCCTTTGGGAATTTCTTTGAATTGGGAGAGTGCATTCTTTAGCGTTTCCTTGTCTCACAGCATGGTGTCATGTTAATTCCTTTGCAGGGTCTCTAAAGGCAGCCTAGAAAACTACTGCAGGAAAAATTGACAAAAGCTGTGCTGAGTGGAGCCTGTAGCCTCTTGGTGTGATGAAGTCACTGCAACATTTTATTTGTGTGTGTTTATTTTGCTGCTGTGCCTTGCAACTGATTTTGCTTGCAGCCCTAGCAAGTCGAAGTTGTTTAAAATGGGTCTAGAAACACCTAGATTGGTGTAAATGCAAATATTCATTTTTCACACTCTTTAATTACAGCTATCATCAAAACAGTGCTTTTACTGTTTCCTTTGATGGTGTTTTAGTTTGAAAACTGCAGCTCAAACTATGAATCAATTCTCCAATTTTTATCCTCTTACCTCTCCTTTCTCTGTTCCTTATTTCTATCACATGTTTATGTACGTGAACATGCATATATGTAACAGACAAACTCAGAGAGTGAAAATTGTATGAGGATTAATGAGTTGGCTTCAGTTTCTCTTTTAGTAACCAAAGTCTAAATATTCAACTTATAATTGTGTAACTGAAGATATTGCCCCCATTAATACAAATATAACTTCATGCTTCTGCAGGCATTCTTGTCATTGAAACTATTTTCCATAGTTGATTACCAGGACCAGAAATAGATTCTGTTTTGCATTTTAATTAATGACATTCTGGATCCGTCTAGGTTGGACTGCCCTCAAATCTTGACATGTTTACTGTCTGGAAGTTTTTTGTGTTAAGAGGGGGAGTTTATGAGTGTTACAAAGTGAAATCATTTGATTATGTGATGCAGCCTTCCTTTGGGAACTGAATGAATCCTATCATTAGGATGTTGGCTGAATTTTTCTGTTGATTTTTCCAATATAAGTCAATATAATCCCTTTTACCGTGTCTCCATGAGACCCTTTTACAGAGTAAAACGAGTCATGTGCAACTCCCACATAAAGCTTCTTAGAGGGAGGACCATTCTTCAGCAGAGATTCAAAGCCACTTCTAACACCAGCTATAGTGATCTACTTTGAAAGGAACTTGCTATTCAATTGGCAACTTCGGACAGATTGTATAAAATAGGAGAAATGCTTTATGAGCTCTGTTGAAAACTGCATTTTTGATCTGTGCCTCCCTACTGAATTCATTTAGGGCTATAGTCACTAGATTAGTTTCACAGGAAAAAAAAAAAAAAAACAACAACATGTCCTCAGTAGCAAAATCATCTATTCAGACTGTCATAAATGTTTATGTTGCAAGTTATACCTCTTGGGTGGTAGAGGGAGATGGCAGATTTCTGGAGGGGAGCCAAATCACAGCCCCAAAATAATGCAAGACGAAAGGGGAAAATTCTTCCCAAATTTAGCATTTAATTCTCCAGGCAGGCTGTTTGCTCTTAAGTCTGAAGAGCCAAGAAATTGACACATAATGACAGGCTTTGTGGCTTTTTTCTCTAATAGAAGTCTCTGACCCTTAATTAGGCAACTGCTGACTGACCTTTTGGCTTGTGTGAGCCAGCAGCCATTGTTATAGAAAGCAGACATATTGTAATACGGTAGGAATTCACTTTCTTACATTTTTCCTGTTGGTCCCCCACTGGGGACCTCCTGTGAGTGTCAGAGAGGGAACAAATGTCTGGTGACCATCAGAGCCAGTTGCAGAGAGATATCTTCAGGACCCCTGGGTTCCAGTTCAGCCCCACCACTAACTGGCTGCGTGACTCGAATTCTGTATCTGCTACAGGAGGCTTGGGCCAGATCATTTCAGAGGGCTCTAAGCCAGCCATTAAAGATTGTGAAATGTTATTTTGCCTCTATTTGTTATTAGATGGTCGTTTCTAAGGCAATTGACCCATATTAGACCTTTCTGGAGTGGGTGGGCTGCACCTTTCTTTGACCCTACAAAGCCTCTGGAACTATGACAGTGGCATGAGCGTCAGAGTTACTCAGAAAAAAGTGAAAGTGGTGACCCTTCATAACAGGGCTCAGATGTATATGATGACTACCCGTGTACCCTGGGACGTTTTGAAAAGTCTCTTGTTATCAAAAGGGACCTCAAGGAGCCTCTTACCTGTTCTGTCATTCCATAGACGGAAGCGATGGGACTTCCCCTGCATAGCACCTGCGCAAGATGACCTCAGGGCAAGGCGCATGTCATTCACTCAGAACCCTGCTCCCTTCCCAGTGTGAAGCCCCCTCAGCTGTACACAGCTGACACTTACTGTCATCAATTGCTCACAAAACTGCTTTGTGGCGTCTTTCTCACTGGTGTCCATTCTTTCTGGGTTCATTTCATGCAGATTACGTGGCTGTACCAGTCAGAGGGAGTCACATCAAGCAAATGTTCATGGTAATTTGTTTATGCTTGTGTGGAAATGCATTTTTTTTTTTTTAGTGTTGAAATTCTGCTTTTTCTATGAACATTTAAGGAATTTTACCAACACTATGGTTAGTTTTTCCCCCTGTGTTTAAACTATTTAAATGATTATTTATTTCTGTTTTGTAGAGGGGGTGATGTTTATGGATTGATTCCGTCATGCATTCATTCATTTACCTAGTACTTATTGAGCACCTGTTGTTTCCCCCCTAATGCTAAGCCGTGGGGATCCAGTGGCGATACAGCCAATGTGGCCATTACTCTAGAGGAGCTCAGAGTCTACTTACGCATCACGATGCGTGGTGTTTATCATCTTTTGATTCTCTGTTTACTCTTGCGCACAGCTTCTCAAAGAATCCAGCTGAAAACAGTTTGCTTGGGCAGTTTTTGCCTGTGGTTATTCCTGTGGTTATTCCACTGAGAAATTCTTTTCATAAAAAGTCACCTTTGCTGTCATTAGAACATATATCTTCCAGTTGTCCTAAACATCATTTTTAGCTTCTGATTTTGTGACCTGACTGAACAAAAGAGATTAATTAGCTAAACTTGTTTGTACCATGTTGTGATTCATGAAATGACAATTCCACTCTTTGGCAAAACTAACCTGTTCCCTAGAATCCTAATTTGACTGTCCGGATAACATAGTGTCTATGGATCTATTTGCAGGTTAAAGACCAAACTCCTTGGCTTGACATACCAGGCCCACCATCATGTATTGCTTCCTCATGGTTCTGTCTCTGGTTCTGAATCTTCCATGGAATGCTCCAGAAGTAACAAAACCATTTGCAGTGCTCAGGAATATGCAATGCTCTCATTTGCCTCAGTGCCTTTGCACATGCTATTTCTGCTGCTGTGAATGTCTCTCCTTTCTTCAGACTACTGAACTTTCAAAGCAAGTTCAAATATCCTATCCCCTGAAATAATTTTGACACCACTTTTTTTGTTGTTATCTCTTTTGCCAAAAGCTGAGCTAGGTAGACCATCTCTGTTCTCTTATATCCCTCAGGACTTTACAGACTATATCATAATTATTTGTCTACTTGTCTCTCTCTCCCAAACAGACTTTTTGTTCCTTGAGGGCAGAGACTTTATGTTCATCTCTGTACCTCAAGGCTTGGTTCAGTGACCACTGTGTAGCAGATACCCAATAATCCTTGAACAAACAAATGGGGAATCACCATCTAAAACCTATGGCACTGGCATTCACAGTTACTGCTCTACGTGGAGAACTTAATTTTTCAAACCACTGTGAATATATGAGTTGTACTGAGAAATTTAAAGGGA